CATCCAGTTCCAAACACTCCCAGAGGCTTCAAGTTTAGCTCGTGCACTATGAATCTTGAGCATCCATGGTGGGAGGGAGTCGGGGGTGGGGGCGAGGGAGAGGGTTATCACAGTTTTAATGTTGGCATGCAAGATACAACTCGTGTAAAATGTCAGTGTTCAGAAAGGTTGAGGATTGTGAAGAGCTCTCAGAAGGGATCGGATCATGATCTGTATTCAAATTGTTATGGAGATGTAGAGGATTGGTATCAGAAATCGAGGCTGGAACTTTCGATTGGAACCAACAGCTCTGACAACAGAGCAATGAGTCATGATCATAAATATTTTCTGATTTGTTTTCAGTGTTCTCAAGGTCCCTCTTGTCACAAGCTCTGAGGGTGTCTGCTCGTCAGACTGCTCTGATATCCAGAGGCCTGCATAATAGCCCTGCCAGGTAAGATCAACGACTTGGTTGTTATGAGTGAGAGCGTCTGGTTACAGATTCTCAAACCTTGGTGTGCAAAAACTTGGATCAAGTGTGTTCCTTCGCAAAGGTACAGTCGCTTACATCTCTCTTTGTACCCTCTCGTCTCGGCTGCTCTTCGTAGGTCACACAGCTGCAGATGCTCTTTGTGCTTTGAGTTCTGTCCGCAATTTCGCAAGGCTTCCGGAGAACGAGGAGGAGGAAAGAGATCCGGAGCTGGGTAGATAATATGGATTGTGATGGTTCAGTATGCTCATTCTGCTGTTCAGAAGCTCTAGCGGCTGAAGGGGAGGTGGAAGATGTCAAGGACGAGCCTGTTAAAGGGGATGGAGAAGGGAAATCAATGCCAGACAAGAGACAGTCACGTCCCCGAAGAGGGCGCAAGCCTGAGCTGATTGGAGATGACAAGCTTGTGAGAAGTGAAGATCCTCTGCTTGCAGAATCGCCTGACGGTCCTGTCTTGCAGCCAAGGTTGCCGATTGCTCTGACGATCGACATCAACAAGGTGAACAGCCGACGCTGCTTGTTTGCCGTCGAGTCGAACGATTTGCGTGCTCTGGCTCTGATTGTGTCTCCTTGTAGGTTGCCCTTGTGAGGAAGGGAGGCAAAACGATTCGATTTGCAGCACTTGTCATCTGCGGAAACGGAAAGGTTTGGAAAGACTTTGATCGATCGTGATGAAGAGATTGATTGTGAGCAGGGAGTTGCAGCGATCGGCAGGGGGAAAGACAAGGAGGTGAAGTCGTTGCCGATGACATGATGCCTGTGCCCATGACCGCAGTGACGTGACGAGCATGATGAAATGTGATGAGTTGATGACAATGATATGATTGATGATGATAAACATCGACGGCGCTCATGATCGTCAGGATGTATTTGCTGTCTTGCAGTTTGATTTGAATGTCTTCAGGTTGCTGTCGCTGTTGAAAAGGCGGTTTGGGATGCCCACAAGTAAGTTGTTCTTGTTTTCATCTTGCTCCCCTCCCACCTTGTCCTTGAATCTCAGCATTTGCTACATCGCAACAGCGTCATTGACCCATGGGATTCAACCCGTCTTCCGCATGATCTCCTTACCTGAAACCCTGACACCTTTCAACCTCTTTGCGTTTGCTCGTGATTTCTTTTCCTCTGGTGAATTTTTGGCTGCAGGAAGAAGAACATTCATTACTTTGAGACCTACGATAATCGCACAATGTTCCACAGTGTCGTGACCAAGTACAAGAAGGTCTGAAGGCTTTCACTGCCACTCTTTCCTTAATTTTCTGGCTCGCTCTCTCTCCTCGTCCTCTCCTGACTTGTCCTGCTGCTTCCATCTCTTTCCCCTCCTCCTTCTATCCTCACTTGCTTGCACAGACTAAGATCATTGCGATGCCGGCGAGGGCTGGAACAGGCTTGCAATGCAGTTTGAACGTTGCGAGGATGTGCCAGGCCATTGGCATCAAAGATATCAAGGTGAGGAGCAGGAGGACTCAAACATGAGCTCTGGTACATCGGGGAGATGGTGCAGAGAGAGGGCAGTTGGGAGGAGGAGTAAGAGGAGGTGCTGAACAAGGGTCAGGTCAAGATCCATGGCTCGACCAACGCGCACAACGTGACCAGAGGGTTTTGGAATGCGTTGCTGCAAGTGATGACGCCAGAGCGATACAGTGAGTGCAAGAGGGAGGAGGATCAAGGAGGAGGGGTCAGAGGGGAGACGGGAAGGGGTGGGGATGGAAGGATGGCAGGAGTTTGCCTGCAGAGAAGGAGTGGGAGGAGAAGGAGGAGAAGGAGGGGAGAAGAGCTTGCTGATGGAGTCTCAGGTGAAATGACGGGCAGAGTTCTCGTTGACTTTGCGTCGCTGTCAGGAGGTGAGGAAAGGGAGGGAGGGAGGGAGGGAGGGAGGGAAGGAGGGAAGGAGGGAAGGATACAGACAGACAGAGGGGGAGGAGGAGGAGACAGGAGACAGGAGACAGGAGGAGGAGGAGGAGGAGGAGGAGGGTCAGGAATGAGGGGCAAGGAGGATCAAGGAGACAAGAGAGTGCAGTAAAGGAGGGAAGGGGAGGGGGATGGTGAAGTGGTTGGCGAGGCAAAGAAGAAGTTGACAGTGATGAGATGCTTGGCAGGCTTCGGTCGAGGGCACACGACTTTGCCGAAGATTGATGAGAAGTTAGACAAGATGCTGTGAAGTGAGAGATCTTGAACCTTTTCTTTAAGAGATGAGATCATTAAAAACGTGTTCGTACGAGCATCGTCCTTCGATCCATGGTGTAAGGAAAACTCAGATGGTTACATTGTGAGGGCGAGCCCTTCATTGTCACCATCATCATCATCAGCAGCAGCAGCAGCATCACAGTGTAGGGTTTCCTGGCAATCTTTTTATTGCTATACTGACCAACTCCCTCTCCTCTCCCCCTCCCCCCCTCCGCTTCTCTTACCTCCCTCTGCTCCTCCGCTTCCTCCTCCCTCCCTCCCTCCCTCCCTCTGCTCCCTCCCTCTCCCTCCCTCCCTCTCCCTCCCTCCCTCCCTCCCTCCCCGCTTATCCCAGGTTCACCTCCCCGATTCTCCCTGTAGCAGACCCTGTAGGCCCGTTTATCAGTGGGAGGGAGGGCGGGAGGAGGGTGAAGTTGGAGATAGCGAGCTGGATACATCTCAGGAGGAGGAGGAGGAGCAGCAGCAGCAGGAGCAGGAGCAAGAGCAGCAGGAGCAGAAGCAAGAGCAGCAGGAGCAGCAGGAGCAGCAGGAGCAGGAGTAGCAGCAGCAAGAGCAGGAGTAATGAAGGGGAGGAGAGGAGGAGGGGATGAAAGAGCAAGCAGCGAATGGTAACCGCTGTGACTGAGGAGATCGTCGAGCGAGATCTTGCCATGTTCAGCAAGCTGCGCAAGCTGCGAGCGGAGCTGCAGGGGGCAGAGAAGGAGGGGAGGAGGAAGAAGAAGATTCTGAGCCCCGATGAGATCTTTCAGCTACAGCAGAGGATGCAGGGGCAGACAAGGCGGGTTACCGAGGAAGAGTGGAAGAGGCACTTTGACATGGCGGACCTGCATGGGAGAAAAGCTCTCACGTTCGATGAGTTCAGGAATGCTTGTCGGCGAGCCAACATCCGCCCTGACATCATCAAGGATGCAGACATCTCCAACATCGTCAAGGTTGTCGATGAAGATGGAAGCGGCTTCATAGAGCTCAACGAGTTTCTCTCCTTTCTCCGCCCTTCCTACGTTCCCGACGTGGCATGCAGGGCATCCAATTGGCAAGGGAGCAGGGAAGGGGTCGCGTCTGACGACAGCATGCGCAGCCCGAAATTTGTTGTCAACAACAACGGGCTGGCAATGACGGCCGACGAGATGATGGTACACACTGGAGAGATCAACATGCACGCCTGGTGCTCCGACGTCGGCATGCGAGGAGAAGAACTGTGGATCGAGTTCGAGCTTCCTAGTGTCTACTTCATCTCCCACATCGTCCTATGGAATTTCATGTCATGGCTGGCAAGCAAGGAGGACGACTCGCTCTGTGCTCTGAGCTCCTTCGAGCTATCCTACTCTCTCAACGGGAAGGTCTGGATCCCCCTAGGGAGAGTCAAAGACCTTCCTCGCATTCCATCAACGGGGATCGACAAGTACTATGGTGAATGCATACAGAACAAAAGTTCGGGAGGGAAACATGCCATGCCCAAGAACCATCAGAAGGCTTCGCTGGTTGAAGTTGATGAGTTCTTCAGACTGCCAGCTAAGTTTATGAGATTTCACAACCTGGAAAACTTTGGTGTTGCTTCTTACGGCAACATGTACGGTATCAACGGTGTGCATTTCTACGGGAGAGAGGCTGTGGGAGACTGTATCATGTCTTGCTGTGAGATGCGAAATGTTACGTCTGACGTGTATCACGCGCATCAGTTTGTTGTCAAGCTTGACCTGAGCCACAACAACATCACCGAGCTTCCTGATGAGCTGAAGCTGATGGTGCTCCTCCAAGACATCGACATCTCTTACAACTACATGACAGAGTTTCCTCCCGTCCTCTTCTCCCCTGAGTTCATCATCTCCATCCGCAAGCTCAACCTGAGCTTCAACATGCTCAAGGCCATCCCTCCCGGCATCGGCAGCTTCAGCAGCATCGAAGTGCTCAACATTGCTGGCATGTACTTCAACAAAGATGGGCTTCCCTCTGAACTCGGTAAGCTCAAGACCCTGAGGGTCCTCGACATCAGCGGCCTTCCCTTCGTCGCCGACTGGCTGTGGGAGGAGGAGGCGCGCAAGAGGCATACGCTTCCTCCGGCCGATCAGTCGGATAGAACGAGGATCACGGAGCAAGAGTTTCTAGCCTACGTCAAGGAACACCCGCTGCTGCTTGATACCCTCGGCCTACCCGGAGCACGAGCCATGTTTCATCGCTATGACAAGAACAAGACCATCTCCCTGGACAAGCAGTACGTGCCCTCCCTGGACTTGCAGGAGGCGGAGAGGCTAGATCAGATGTTGCTTCAGATCTTTCAGAAACCTTTCTGCGGCATCCCCGACGACCTCTGGTTGCTCGACAGCCTCACTGAGCTGCAGATGAAGAGGTCGGGGGTAGAGAACTTCAGGTACCCCTCCTCCGTACCCAAGTTGCCGGTGACAGGTATGACCCGGGTCCTCAAGGACGGGCAGAAGCTCGGTATCTTCACGCTACTAGAGGAGCAGGCAAAGAGCTTCGAGGGCGTGCTCCAGCTACAAGTTACCGACGTCATCGGGGCTGTAGAGAACGAGAGGACGGAGAGGGTAATGGAGGACCTTGGCTTCCATGTTCCCAAGGGGTCGGCAGGAGGCGAACAGATCTCGGAGGAGAAGATGAGGGTGACATTAAGGAGGGAGAGGCAGGAGGAGGAATCTCTGAAGGAGGTGAAGAAGACCCAAGATTCAAACTCCTCCTTCGACTTCCAGGGCATGAGGATACAACTCGGATCCAGCCTCACGTCAAGGACACACCCCTGTTTTGATTTCACGAGATGATCAGAAATGAATCTTTTTCTTTGATCTGCCTCTGCTTCTTCCTTCTCGTTGTTTGTATTGTCGCACCAACATGCAGCCACATATCATTCATCTTCTACTCTCCCAATCGTAAGAATTTATGACATCCGCTTCACACAAACCTTATTTTACTTGGATTGTTGTATGAGGGTTGTCATCAAATTGATAGCAACAAGCATTCAGTATCGAGTTTCACGCTTCTTCTTCCACACCCTCTGTGTGTGTGTTTCTTATAGTCGCCGTTTCATCCTCGTTTCATGAGCCCTTCTGTCCCGTTGCCTTTACGTTTCTGCCGGCTCTGCTCTGCTCTGCTCTGCTCTGCTCTGCTCTGCTCTGCTCTGCTCTGCTCTGCTCTGCTCTGCTCTGCTCTGCTCTGCTCTGCTCTGCTCTGCTCTGCTCTGCTCTGCTCTGCTCTGCTCTGCTCTGCTCTGCTCTGCTCTGCTCTGCTCTGCTCTGCTCTGCTCTGCTCTGCTCTGGAAAGAGTTCTGATAAAATTTGCTTATTAAAAACTGGTACAACTTTAAAAGAAAAACACTATTAAGATGTATTGAAGTATGGTATCAATTTCTCTCGTACAAATAGTTATCAAAATGCA